CAGGGCGGGACTGGGCAAGATGGGCCAGACACACCCTGGAGCCATCCTCCTGCAGTTCCTCCCCAGCCGGTCACACCTGGGGCGGTGCCAGGGCTCGAGGGCATCGGTGGAGTGAGCGGGGTCCCTCCAGCAGGTGGGGTCCCTTGGCCTGGCCTGCAGGGATCAGGCTGAAACTGGCAGTCCAACATCCCCTGGGGGGTCCCAGAGTGCAAGAGGGCACTTTGCAAAGTTGCTGTCGCTCAGCATCTCCTTCATTGAGCATCTGCTCCCTGGTGGTCAGTGTGTGTCATAGCTACTAGCCGGTCAGCCAGTAGCTTAGGCTTTTATATATATAGATTGTATTGTACATGTAAACTCCTATGTCGAAGGCATGTCCCTGGGAGTGGAATTGCTGGATTGTAGGCTAAGTGCATCTTCGGTTTTATTATATTATAAAAATTGTTTTCCAGCTTACATGACCATCAACATTGTTTGATAGCTCCCAATTTTCCACATTCTTGCCACTTTTTAATTTCGCCATTCTGGTAAGTTTGTAATGGTATCTCATTGTGATTTTAATGTGTTTTCTTTGCTAATAATAATGATGTTGCACACCTTTTCATACATTTATTGGCTATTTGGAAATTGTCGTTTTATAAAACTACTGTTCAAGACTTTTGCCTAGCTTTTTCATATAATGTCTGTCTTTTCTTATGATTAGCAGATGTCCTGTCTGCTGTTACTTTGTCAGTTATATTGCGTTGCAAATATATTTTCCCACTCTTCAATCTCTCTTTGGTGACTTTTAGCAAATAAAAGTTTTTGTTTTATGGAATCTAATTTATTAAGCTTTTTTATGTTTAAGCTTTTTTTATGTATCATTTGAGCAATTTTTTTCCTAAACTGGAGTCATGAGATGTTTTCTATATTATTTTATAAAAGCTTTATAGTTTTGCTTTTCACTCTTAAGTTTTATTTTATTTAGTTATTTTGTGTATGGTGTGACGTATTTTATTGTGTAAATAACCAGTTGTCTTCAATTAAACTTTTTATCGAAATGCTTATCCTTTCTCCATTGATATTAAATATCATCTCTGACACATATCAAGTTTCCAAATCTGAATGTCTATTTCTAGTCTGTCTATGTGATTCCATTGGCCTACTCTCTTAGTTACTGCAGCTTTACAATAGCTGGCACACTAAATCCTTCCACCCAATTCTTTTGCGAGTGGGCCCTCCTAATCTTAGTGCTTTGCGTTTCTATATACATTTTAAAACAAGCTTGCCAAGTTCCACCAGAAACAAACAAAAAACCTACTGGGATATTGGGATTGCCTGGACCTCTTGATCACTTTGGTATATTCTCAATTTAGTTAGGTCTTCTTCAATGTCTCTTTATAAAGGTTTAAATTTCTAGTAAAGGATAATACATACAGGAAAGTATACAAATTATAAGTAGACAGTGGTATTCATTTTCACAAAGTAAACACCTAAGTAACCAGCACCCAGATCCAGAAACAACACTGCCAGAATCTCATTTCCCTCTAAAGTCCCCCTTTAGCTAATAACCTCACCCACAAAGGGCAACTGTTTTCATGACTTCGAAAAACATATATTAATTTTGTCTGCTTTGGCCTTTATAGAAATAGAGTCAGTCTATACTACTTGGCTTTTTTCATTCAGCATTATGCTCATGAAATTATCATGTTGTTCAGATAGTTATATTTTATTTATCCTCACTATTGTAGGGTGCTGTATTCCATTGTATGAATTTACCACAATAGATTAATCCATTCTGTTGTTGATAGACATTTGAGTTATTTCTAATTGGGGATATGATAAATAGTAATAAACATTGTTGTACACGTCTTTTGGGAGCATGTGCATGAATTTCTACTAAGAATGTAATTGCTAGGTCATAAGTTTTGTCCTTAGTAAATACTGCCAAGCTGTCTTTCTGAATGGATTGTACTGATTTATACTTCTACTGGTGGCCTGGTGCATGAAATTCGTGCATGGGGTGGGGGTGTCCCTCAGCCGAGCCTGCACCCTCCCCAATCTGGGACCCCATGGGGGATGTCTGACTGCCGGTTTAGGCCCGATCCTCAGGCCTAAACATCCCTCTTGCAATCCTGGACCGCTGGCTCCTAACCGCTCGCCTGCCTGCCTGATCACCCCTAACTGCCTCTGCCTGCCTGCCTGATTGTCCCTAACTGCCTCTGCCTGCCTGCCTGATTGCCCCTAACCTCTCTGCCTGCCTGCCTGATTGCCCCTAACTGCCTCTGCCTGCCTGCCTGATTGTCCCTAACTGCCTCTGCCTGCCTGCCTGATTGCCCCTAACCTCTCTGCCTGCCTGCCTGATTGCCCCTAACTGCCTCTGCCTGCCTGCCTGATCACCCTTAACCACTTTGCCTGCTGGACTGCTTGCCCCCAACTGCCCCCCTGCCAGCCTGATCACCCTCAACTGCCCTCCCTTCCTGGCCTGATCACCCCTAACCACCTGTGCCTTGGCCCTGCCACCATGGCTTTGTCTGGAAGGACGTCCGGAAGGTCTCCTGGTCTAATTAGCATATTACCCTTTTATTAGTATAGATAGCAGTGTATAGCAGTTCTAGTCAATCTACATGCTCATCAATACTTTATATTGTCTATTTTAGTGTAACCATTCTGAGATGGTATAGTGGTGCCAAATTGTGGTTTTAATTTGCATAACCCTGAGATGCACCTTTTTTTTGTTTGTGTTTTTGTTTATTTTTATTGTTGACAGTATTACAGATGTCTGTCTCCAATCCCCCCCCCCC